CGATTCCAGCGCAAATGTAGCCTTTGAACCGGCCTCGACCATATTCTGTCTGAATGAGCGGCTTCACTGTCCCCACTGAGGGAGCAGTCAGGCCTGAGTAATAGTCCCTTTCTCTCCGCCGCTGGCCTCCCGACCACTCCTCCTCCTCCTCCTCCTCCCTCCTTCGTCCTCGTCCCTTCTCTCCTCTCCCTTTTTTTCTTTTTCATCCACTACAATAACCCCCCCACACTCCCTCCAACCTCGCCACCTCTAAAACAAACACACACTCTAATCACCCACCTGCCCACGAGACTAACCCCTCTTTGTCCCCCCTCCTCCCTCAAATAACTTTTTTTTTGCCCCCCCACACACCCAAGCTCCCACCCATTCGCCTCCCTCCATCACCCCAAATTGTTCCTCTCGCTGCAGAATGCGGCCGTGCAGTTTGGGAAAACAAGGCCAATAGATTCAGTCAGATGTGATAAAGTGTTCCTCTCTTGCTCGGGGGACTCTGCATAAAGAAACATTTTTAAGGGGAAGTTTTTTTTTCTTCTTCTTCTTCTTCTTTTTATAACTTGCATGCCCCCGGCCTGTCAAACACAATCAGATTACGGGGCGGGCCTTTAAATCCTCGGGCTTCACTCGAGAAACATCCACGTAGCTGTTGAGGATGCTCCGAGGAAATGTGGATTGAATTCATATCTGACCGCAAGTTTGACAAGGAATTATCCGAATAAAAACTTCAGCGAGGGCTTTTTTTTTTTGTACCATCTCTAAGCATGTCTTTTTTTTTTTTTCACCACTTCAAAAAGCATTATGGGACACTTGTGACCAGAGGACTGGCCCTTAAACAAACACATCAACTGAGGAAAAACCAATCAACATGTCACACATTGACAAACACCCCGCGGGGACAGAAATGCCAAGAATTCCTTGATTGAATGGAGCCAAATGGGGAACAACAGCCGTGGATGTATATTATAACATTACAGACTCCATGCCCAGGTTGAGCTTTACAACTGGTTCAGTGATTGCTTTCAGTGGCTAATGTCAATTAGAGATGCTTTTCAGTAAATAGGCTTCATTTAAAATCCCGTAAAACCATGACCTGAATTCGCTCATTAACGGTAGGATGCTGCGGAGCTTGTATCTCGCTGGCTGGGATCAAAATTAAAAACAGACTTCTGCCTGGCTACATATGTCACTCCAGATCTACACTCTGAGCCGGCGAGGGTTCAATAAAGCACCGCGGAATGGTTCATCGGCCTCGGAAAACCGCGGCAGGGAGCTTTCGCACACGCCACGATCTCGTGTCGATCCTAATTCGAGGAACGAGGAATCGCGCGGATTGCATCATTAAATAAATAACTAACAGCGCTGTTCAGACTTTCCACTTCAGAGAGGCGGAAGCGTGATCGACGGTGACACGATTAGCTCGCTGGACGCACGCCGCATCTCGGAGGTTTTACTTATGTTGCGAACAGAGGGCAGGATGAACAGCAGCAGCCAGAGAACCAGCATCCTCGAAGAAGATGGAGATGTTGAGAATAAAATCAGAAAGTGGATAGATGCAGAGATTGGTGAATTGAAGCGACAGGTAGACGGATCGGGTGAATCACGAGTGTGGCCAGTTTGCCCGATACTTCGAAAAAGTCCATTTGGAGGATCTTGACAAGTTTCTTATCTTTATCGGTCACAAAGCTAGATCAAGCCTCTCCCAAGTGTAGTTTTGGTAGCTACGACAGCCCATTGTGTCTCGTAATTTTGCAACCAAAGTCAACGCTTGGATTTCCAGGGTTGGCTATGTGAGATCAGCTCAGGCTAACCACTCAGATCTCCTTCAGCTTATTGTTAAAGGACCTTAACCGAAAAATGATTCATGCACAGCTAAGCGTGTGTGAAGTAGAACGGGAGTGGGGGGAAAAAAATGTATTTAAAAAGAAAATGCTACAGATTATTACTGGCAAGAACGCATGAAATGTCGTAAATCAGCGGTTTTAACAGAGTGTTTTAGTGGCGCTCTCGGATTCTTTATGAGCCTTTCCTAATTCTTCATTTTTATTTGAACTATTACAGCCCACTTTGAGTCATTAACATTACACATAGAGCAGTTGAACCGCCACTTCCCTGATCAAACAACCCCCGAGGAACCCTTCTTTCTATGGGTGTTAGAAAAAAAGAAGAAAAAAAAAGCCCCCCGAAAGTGTGTGACTCTTCCAACGTCTGAATATTTTTCTTTGCTGAGCACAACGCAGGAATCCGTCTGAGGTCTATGATTCACTGTGTGATTCAGAGCATACAGTAACGGGCAGCAGCAGCAGCGAGCGAGCAAGCAAGCAGCAGCTCATGGCCTGGATCTGCACAAAAGGACAGAGGCTGACAAATGGTACACCTGCACTGGAGCCCTTTGTCCGAGTCAGCATTTCAGACCGAGGGGTTCTGGCTGTATAGGTGCAGTGCCGCAAGTCCAACCTCGGGGCTCTAACACTCATTAGTAAGTTAAAGGAGGGAGTTTGCAGTGATTGATTATGCAGTAACATTTAACAGCTGCGTTAATGGCGGGGCCTGCTTGGGACTTATTACCAGGTTGGTATGTATATACAAGGCCGAGATGCTAAATCAATCACTCCTGTTGGGTCGCTGATGGGAGACAGTTAGTCCCGCTGTATTATTGACATTAAATAAAACATTCTGAAACACTAAAGCTTTAATTAGCAGCTTCGCTAACAACCATCCGATCATTAGCACTGGTAGGCAATTACATGTGTGCAAATTGCAGGCCATGAAATACTGTTTTACCAGTCTAATGAAGAGATAAGGGTGCTGTGATGGGAGAGGGAATAAAAAAAAAAGAGGAAAAAATGCACCCAAAACCTGAAGAATCTCCTCTGAGGTTAGCTCTCTCTGGATTATCCTCTTCTGTTTTCATAGCCCAATGCGAGAGAAAGAAAAAAAATGCAACATTCAAGACCTTACACCATTTTAAATCTTACAGAACAACAATAACAACAACAACAAAAAAATACAGCCTGCTAATCTTGTCTTGGGGAAAGCCTCCGAGAGGAAATATCTTTGTGTCTGCAACGTGGAGTAATAATGGATTATGCAGTTGTAACAGACAATGGGACACATGGCTTCACACATAAATAGGCAGTGTGTGAATGGTTTATAAGTGGATAGACAAGAGGGGAGGGGGGGCAGCATGTGACAGTAGCAAGGGGAGAAGAGGAGGGTGGTGGTGGTGGTGGTTCGACGATTACCATCATATGTGAATCCATGAAACAAAAAGAACAAAAAAAAAAAAAAAAGAGGGAACCTGTGTGGAGATGTGCTGGCGTGAAGCCCTCACAGCAAACGCTCGCTGGGTGGAGAAGAAGAGCAATACAAAGCCTGGCAGACACGGTGACATCATCCCTTTTCTATACCTTCTCCTGGAACACGCCCCCTACCTATGATGAAGTGGTCGCCTGGCTGGCCGGCCCAGCCGTGCACGCTCCCGGTCAGCCAAGGTAGACAATAAGATGAGGAGGATGAGGAGGAGGAGGAGGAGGAGGAGGGTAAAAAAAAAAAAAAAGACACAGATGTGCCTCAATCAAATCAAACAGGTAGCTTCTTTTAGAGAGAAATTACAAACCTCCCATCTTCATCCCATCCTGTCTCCTAGCAACTCGGCTGTGATTATCATAAGCCTACCTGGCTGCTTACCCCACAGGTATGGAGGGGAGGGGGGGG